ACACACACACACACACACACACACACACACACACACATAAACATTTTACATTGAGAGGTGTAAAGTTTATTTAAATAATATCTGATACCATAAACAAATGAGATCCTGAATGTTATTACTTTGAAAAAAAATTTAAATATTCAATATATTGGGTAATATCTGTAAAATACTGTTAAAACACTATAAGCACGTTACAATGAACTATAAAAAATAAAACATTAATGAAAGTTAAATTATGGCATGAGAAATAGAATAGGGCTTCTAGAATATACTGATTACTTAGAACTAAAGAAAGGAAAAGTTGTTTTTTATATTTCCACAATAAATTTAATACTTGAATACTGATTATTTAAGTAATGCATGAAAAAGATTGATAATACGTTTTGCTCTTAACAATACCAACGTATGACCAACATATCTACATACAACAAAGACATTTTTAACCAGTTTGCTAATAATAAGAAAAAAAAAAGATAAATTAGCAAAACTAGAAGCAAGTCACGAATTCATAGCAATAGCACGATTATGATCGAAAATAGTTATTTTGAGAAAAAAAGAAAATGATGACAAGCTTTTAAAATACGCTTTTGTTTAAGACATTTGAATTGAATAAAAGTATACCAGAATATAATTTAATTATTCATGATAACAAGGGATTATATAATACGTTTTCTTAGTTCTTGATGTTTATGTAATATGTTAATAACCAAACTTAGGCCTAATTTAATCAACTAATCAGTTAATGAGTTATTTTCAGTTTTAAGAGAAAAAAAAAGTCGACTTCATTTGATCAGGCTTTTTCTATGTTATATTAACCTGATGCCGGTACTAATTATTATCACTGAATTTTAAGATTTACTTTCATATTCGTTAAACAAATTAGTTTTTGACAAGCCTTTTTCTTTTATTTTCTATTTGATAATTATAATACACATTTTGTAAGAAATAATGTAGCTGTATTTTACTGTTGAAGTAGAATCTGGATAAAACTTAGCTAATAACGTTTTTAGAATTTGACGGAATCGTTCAAGAAAGCAGGAATGAAGCTGGAAACGCTCTAGAAACAATTGTTCCTTTGATACACAAGTTACTCCACAACGCTAACGAAAAAACTAGAGATGCAAGAAACGCTCAAGCAGAAACAGATTCTGTAAACGCCAAGAAGAAAGCCATTGAAAGTGAAATAATTTCTATCCAAATATCTCAGGTATCGAAGAAATAAAAAAAACTTCTGTTGGGTCAGTTTTCTCAATGAATACTTATTGTATATATACATATGCTGATACAAAACATGTATTACAAAAAACACTGATTCGTGACGTTGAATTCATGTTTCACCATTTATACATAATTTACTAAAGATAGTGAAACAATGTAAATACTAAGCTGTACTATTTGAAATTATTTTAGGCCTATCTAAAGCTTGAAATAAGAAGAGACTCAGAATAGTTAGCCTATTATAGTTGAAGCTTAAAAAGTTAGTATAAAAATGTAAAAATATTACTTTACTAATATTATAGAACAAAATCGTTATTTCCTTGAAAAGAGTTGTTTGTTATTATTATAGAAAGTTATATAACAGTGCATGTGAAAAAAGTTATGAAAATAAACACAAGTTTGTTTGTTGTTAAGCGCAAAGCTACACAACAGGCTATCTGTGCTCTGCCCACTATTGGTATCGAAATACAGTTTTTAGTGTTATAAGCCTACAGACAGGGTGGCATAAACCTAAGTCCAAGAAATCTATTACAATTTCTGTGATGTAAATAAAACAATTTTTGAATAATCATGTATTACTTATGCTATTGTTATCTGAAGAAATGTGTTTTGTGACATTCCAGCCACATCAGCCTCCACTGGAACATTAAACATTTGCCTATTCCATATATGGATTTCAAGCTTGCCATTAGTGAAATGTTTCATGTCAGTGTACAGGTTCTCTAGATAGCTCTGCAACCAATGATTGATTGACTTGCTTGTTTGGAGGAAATACTACTTACTAGGTGCTGCTTTGGTTATAGTTTTCCCTTGCAAGAGAGTCAACCACTAATATAGCAGTATTGTGGCACTGATATTATAATTGGCGGCACTTTACTTTCATCTTGTCTATATGATATTCAGTGACTGCAACATTTAGACGAATGTTGCCTCGTGGTTTCCCTTTGAGTTGGACAATTTCATTGACAATGAAGACTTGTTCAGGTTGACCATTTTTATGAGATTATACTAGCCATATGTTGGGTAATTCATTTCAACTTTTAAGTTATTTAACAATTAAGTCTCGTTTATGTTTCTCTTATATCATACAGTTTCCTTTTTGGTTAGGAAGCTGCTATAGATAGTCTTAGAAGCTTTGTACTATGAAAATTCATTCAACAACAATAACAGCTTCTTAGAGTCACAAGCATCTTAACTTTTATTCTATTAGCAAAGTATTTGTTTGTTTCTTTGTTTTGAAGTTAAGCACAAAGCTAAACAATGGGCTATCTGTAGTTTTGCCCACCATTGGTATCGAAACCTGGTTTCTAGCGTTGTAAGTCCGCACACACATACCGCTGTGCCACTGGGGAGAATTAACAAAGTGAAATAATTAATAAAAAATAACAGATTGGTGAAAAATATGGTCATACTCGAATACAGAGATCCAGATTTTAATATAAATATACGAGTAATTTTAACAAAAGATGTAAAATAAACATTTGCCAAAATCATTGGGAGTAAAAAATATAACGTTTTAAATAAATCTTGGAAGTTATGGCGCTAAACGAAAACAAGTGCATTCAAAATATGGTCTGTCTGTTTTAAAACTTATATGGCATTTCAACATTTATGCTTTTGTGTTTAAATTTTTTGTGTCTTTTAAATGTATATATATACAGAGCGTTGAGTATGTTAAGTTCAAACTACGATGAATGTACAAATCAGCAAGTGGCATGACTACCACTGCCGATATAAAGTATTGGTGGAACGGCATGCATCAAAAATACATTTTGACATTGTTTGGTGTTATGTAGGTATTTTGACATTGTTTGACATTATGCAGGAATTTTGACATTGTTTGGTGTTATTACGTAATTTTGACATTGTTTGGTGTTATGTAGAAATTTTGACATTGTTTGGCGTTATGTAGGTATTTTGACATTGTTTGATATTATTTAGGACTTTTGATATTGTTTGGTGTTATTTAGGACTTTTGATATTGTTTGGTGTTATGTAAGTATTTTGACATTGTTTGGTGTTGTGTAAGTATTTTGACATTGTTTGGTGTTGTGTAGGTATTTTGACATTGTTTGACATTATGCAGGAATTTTGACATTGTTTGGTGTTATGTAGGAATTTTGACATTGTTTGGTGTTATTACGTAATTTTGACATTGTTTGGTGTTATGTAGGTATTTTGACATTGTTTGACATTGTGCAGGAATGTTGATATTGTTTGATGTTATTTAGGACTTTTGATATTGTTTGGTGTTATGTAGGTATTTTGACATTGTTTGGTGTTGTGTAGGTATTTTGATCCCACCAAACATTGATATTTATGAAAATAGTATGTAACAAACCCTTTCAAATTAATAATATTTATATACTCAGATCATAAAAGTATTGTCAGATCAGATAATTAGAGTCTTCAAGATGGGCATATTCCTTAAAGTTAATTACTTTGGAAAGTAACGAAATATGGATCAACTTGGGCCACCTGGACTATCGAGAAAGTAACGAGTCATACTCTATGCATGGTAAGGAAAATGTGGAGTCTTGTTAAAGGTGAGAACCCACGAAGACACAGGTCAGTGGCAAGTGCCACCCACTGCTCCACACAACAGAGTACAGTATAATTAAGAAAGATCTTCACCTGAAAGAGGGACACATGCCCCGTGTACACAGGCTGTTTTATTGATGTAGCTGCTCAATTTTTGCATTCCTCATGCAACGTTAGAAATAAACATGTATTCACGCTATTCCAAACGAAGACTTACTGGTCGAATCGCTTTAGTGGCACCTATAGATTTTCTTGTGATCAGACTGTAAAATAGACTCTGGGAAATCGTTGTCCTCGTCTACTAAATGATATAGAAAGTCTCAGGAAGCAGTATTTTGTTTTGGACATGGCAGTCTTACGATTGAGCCTTTAACAATGAAAATTATGCTTCAGGGCTATTATGAAGATGCACGTTCATCAGATAGAGAATAACCAGTCTTAGTGTAATTCCAAAATCGTTCTAATATAACATACTGAAGTTCTCGGGGTTACATACTTCTCGATTAAACGTACAACTTTAAACATCCTGTAATATACCCACTCGTTAAATTAAATATTTGGGCACAATTGTGGAGCTTTATTATTGTCTTAATATCACGTTTTGTGTTTCTCGTGTAGAAGGTGGACGATTTCAGAAAGGAGGTAGAAGGAATGAAACAAGACACCAGAAGGGAATTAGAGGTGAGCCACAAGGTATTCGAAGGAGTTCAGAAAGTAGTTGATCAGATGAAAAACTTTGAAGAGAAGGCTGAAAGCGAGAGTGAGCTAGCAGAAAAGGTTGGCGAAATTTTAGTTTCATATATGTTGTAAGTTGAACAAAATGTATACAATTTAAAATTTATAATAACACGCATTAATGACACGCAATGGAGATAAATTTACATGTCTGAACTCGGCAGAATGTTCTAGAGAAAAATTCCTTGCAGACGCTCAAATTCCTTACCCAAATAGAGAAGCTTGCGGTAAAGAAAAAATTAAATTATTTCAAAGTAAATTTCTTTCGTTAAGTTGAATTCATTTGAAAGGATATAAAACAGTTTAAGGGTGATTCAAGTTGAATTAAAACACATCACAACGTTTGGCCTTAGCTGATGTGACATCTTCAGTTGTTATTGACAAGCACCCAATATAGTTTATATACACTCCAATTGACGACACCATAATCTAAAGAATATATATCGTAAAGCCTTTCATTTTGTTAGTTAAAGGTTTATCTTTTTTTATTAAAATCGTGATTGTTGCTCTTCGTTTATTTTAGTTATTTCTATAGTGGGTAATCCTCACCGTTTTATTATTTTTTAAATGTTGACAGATGTGGTCATCGATTCTTGACGATAGTCAGTTTGTTTGTTTTTAATTTCGCGCAAAGCTACACGCGGGCTATCTGCGCTAGCCGTCCCTAATTTAGCAGTGTAAGACTAGAGGGAAGGCAGCTAGTCATCACCACCCACCGCCATCTCTTTGACTAATCTTTTACCAACGAATAGTGGAATTGACCGTCACATAATAACGCCCCCACGGCTGAAAGGGCGAGCATGTTTGGTGTGACGGGGATTCGAACCCGCGACGACGATAGTCAGATAGCTTCCAGTATCTCCTACATATAGACTATCGCACTTTACACATCCAGTGCGATGAATTACCTCTTTTTTTAACAGATGTTGGTTGAAAATTTTAGAATGTAAAAATGTTACCTCTATTCAAGTATAAACATGAATCTTCCCGATCTTTCCTTTTTTTTCTATATCTAATTCCCAGTTCTCGACCCGACAACCAGAAAACGAATGGCACTGTTAACCAATTTTTTTAAAAATTCGTCAGGGAGAGAAACTGAGACAGTTGCGTCTATTGAATAGTATTTTTATTACTAGAAATTATTTCAATAGTGAATTTAATATACATTCATGAATATTGGTTGTGCTCACGTTTCATTGCTAGACACGTTTTAACTGAAACAACTGGCATGTTCGTGCTTGTTTAATTCGTAGCTGCAAGACTTGAGATATATTTAATATAGGGGTAAGTATGTTTGGAGATGTTGTAGTATTAACTTGTTGAATCGGTTTCCAGTCAGTTGTTCGGCCACGGTTAGTGGTATTATTGACTTAGTGCCACACAATTAGCCATAAAAGAGAATGACACACAGACAGTTTTACACGTTGATTATTATCATGTATAAATAATATTGTATGATTATATTGGTATATATTGTATTTGTTGTCAATGGTTACTAATACACAAACAATTTTTCTGTTTCATTCGGTTAAAAAAATATCATGGATCAGTTGTACGTTTAGTTTAATTTCTTAGATGTATATTTGAATGTGGCATATTTTATTGTTACGTTTTGTTTTTAATAGGTTCTGACCTTGACAGGTGACCTTCAAAACTCAGTGAAACACGCATCTTTGAAAGCCGAAAATGCCTTGAATGTTTTGCAGAACCTAATGAACAAAATAGGTTTTTATCACAGTACTTTTGTTTGTGTGTTCGTAGTTAAGCAAATAGCTTCATGATGGTCTATCTGTGCTGTGCCCACCACGGGTATCGAAACCCAGTTTCTAGCGTTATAAGTCCCCAGACTTACCGCTGTGCCACTGTGGGAATTTACTACCCTATATTTACGGATAAATAAGAAAGTACCAACCAGACGATATGGCTCGAAATTACATCTCTCAGCCAAATAGATGTTAATTATAATCAATAAAACATTCGAGAAAATATTAATGATAAGCGAGTTAAAATATATTTTATAAAAAAGAAAAAAAAAAGCCAAGGTGGCTTAAAAAATAAAAAAAAGAACTTTTATCGGCATCATTATGACTCATTTGTTATGAAGACATATAGTTCGAGGGTACGGTTTTACAATGGCCAATAATTCCTAATTCACTGTCAACGTGCTACACGATAGCAGATATAGGATTTTTGAAAGGAGTGTGTGGGTGGGTGCGGTCGCCTGTATGAGCACCATATAATTTCAGCATACATCACTCGTATCGAAGCAGCCAGATTATACATGAAACTTAAATATAATATTATAAATTTTTGGCTTGTAGCTAGGATAGGTAGGTAATAAAATATTTGATTGAAATTATTTATTGTTAAAGGGGCGCACATTAGAGCGTGAGGGCGCAAGATTATTAAAAGGAGGACAGCCCTACCCCCACAACCCCCTGAATCCGCTAGTGATGCTACATATATGTGTTTGAGTATGAAAATACAAATATATGTGTTTATATAGACATATTTGTGTGTATATATATATATATATATATATATATATGTGTGTGTGTGTGTGTGT